CTTGGGAATATTATGTTCTCATAAAAACTTTGTCTAATTAATCAGGAGATGCGGACACTAATTCGGACTCCGGCGTATACCAAAAATACCAGACGCGGAATTATCTACTTCGCACTTTACTCGTGTTTTCTGTATTGTCGTGGTTGTTTATATTTAAAATAATATATACGGCTATAGGTATTCAAGTTTTGTTTTTTGTTATACATTAAAGATTACCGACTTGTTTCCGTACACAAAGTATAATTTACAAACGAAACAAGAATTAGAAGAACCACTGGAGTGTGCTCACATGACAAAAATAAAGACTTAGAAACTTATGGTTGGCGTTCATCGCCAGAGACCAGGTGACATCAGCGTAGTCTACATGAGATCACGCGGGCCATTTTTGTCGTCGTCGGAAATGTCATGTTACTAATTAAAAAACAATCGCCGTATTTGTCCGTCCGGATACAAAATATTCCTTCCATCTTTCCATTATAATGCATTTTTGTAAATCTTCTCAAACTTGTTGCTTATATTGTTGTGAATGACCTCATTATGGCGAGTTAATTTTATTCATAGTTTCGCTGGCAGCATACTCGAATACAGATAATGTAAAGTGATAAGTACAATTTTGTTTACCCTTTTGACTTACTTTTAAATTAATAATATTTGAGTAAACCTGAATATAAAGAACATATTTAAAAGCTTGCTTAATTGAAAAATGTAGTACATTTAGTGGGAGGCGTGCCGTGTGGTGGCCTTGCCCTGTGGCCCGCCGCCGCCGCGCGTGTGAAGCCTTACACCTCGTGAATTAGAACAAAGGTCAACTGCCAACGAACTCTTTGAGTTTTCATTGCTCAAAACCATATCTAATCTTTGTTTGGATGAACCCATAGAGATGACGTTTAACTATGAGATAAAACAATTTTAGAATTTGGAAATTGTTTATTAAAGAGTAAATAGGTCATAACCCACTGGAGTCCTATCAGATTAAATTTACTGTATGATTATAATTATTTCGAGAGGGAATAGTATTGTTGTTGTTATTAGTAATTACATTAGCAGTAAGATTGAGTGTTTATATAAGCTGTAAGGTCGCGGTCTACGGTTTCGATACATTTGTTGCCCGCTATATGCAGTTTTATTATGACTTCTGCTGTGCTTGGAAAGATTTAATATCTTTCACCTTGTGTTATGATACGGATAAAGACAATAATCAAGTGGGGACATTCAATACCACAAACGCTAGATCGGTAATCTCAACGTATTGAGGATTAAAACGCTTCAAAACAGTGTGCAGTGCAGTTCAGTGCACGCTGGCACGCGACCACCTTCCCCCTCGGACTCCGAAACGGAACGGTACACACGGTAACGATGTTTGTAAACATCTCTCCTCTGTTCTGAAGCTATACGTGTGCCTCCATGCTTTGACGATTTATTCGTGTTTGAGTTCAATACGAGACGCATAGAAAAAAAAAACTGCAACACAAAAAAACACAATGAAAAGCGGATATTGATTTTTACTTCTACCTAATCGTAAAAGGCGATACAAATACAATTTAATCATGATTAATGAAGTTTTATGGACTTGAATGAACATTACTTTAGCACGAAACTATAAATGTACTTAAATTATTTAATATGAACATTGAGTAACCATATAAAGGATAGCTACACTGTGCTATAGTGTTTGAAGGCGCTATGAATTTGGCGCAAAGCGTTTTATTATAGTGCAGAGAATGAGGTCGGCGCACGCACGTAGCAACGCGGAAGCAGAGTCGCGCCCCGCCCGCGTCCACGTCTGCGCCCGCGCCGGCGCCCGACTCAAAACAGGGAATAAATTCGGCGAAAAGGAATTAACTAAAATGTTCTAAAATTACCGCGACTGCGTTAGTCGTATAGTTACGTTGCGTCACTTGTTATTAATGTAAATATTTTAAAAGCCAAAATCTCATTAGAATATTTCACTAACACCATATGATTCAACATGTTAACAAGCGTGTAAAACACATACAAGTGATATTTATTTCAACACGTGTCATAAATCCTGCAATCACTCTGCTATCAGCAAAGGTATTGTTGTACAGCTAAGTAAATTTTAAAATCCGTGAGGGAAAGTTGGCAGAGATCAGAAAAACATCTCCTTTATATAAACAAGGTCACTTGAAGGAAAAACAAATTGCAGGCTGCAAATAAAAACAGCCGCAAATAGAGCACTTTCTCATTGCGAGAATAATTAATTTCGATCAATGTGAACGTAATAATAGGCGTCAAGTGGCAAGTGGCACGCGGAGGTGAAAGCACCGGCTTAGCCAATAATTGCAGCGGACACGCTCTCTGTACATAATCGATTACTGCGCCGAGCCACGCTGATGCAGGAGGCGAGGGTACGAAAAGGCAATGGTTACCGTACAGCAGACCCTGGTAGACATTTCCTTGGACCGGAGTTCAAAAGCTATCGACAGTTGTCAGAATTTGTATCCGCGCGGTGAAGGACCCCGGTCTTGTAAATACAACGACCCTTACGGCCTCAAAACGTCTTCCTGGCTTATAATTACGGGACATTACCTGACCTTCTGAAGCGTAACGCAGAGCAGTGAAGGGGCAACCCTAGCAGGTCACGGTGCATGACAGGCTTAAATATAGGGAAGGAAACCCAAAGAAGTTGAATTTGTCGTTGATTAATTTTAATCTTTAGGTGTCTGTTTATATTCATACTGATGCTATATATTGAGATTGTTGGAAGTGGAGCGGCGAAAGCGAATAAAGTAAAGCCGATTATATTAAGTTCGAACTGAAAGCAAGTCCTTGCACAACAATAGGGCTGCTCCCACTCCCGCCTCATACTACACAAGTATCGACATCGATCTCGCAAGTCGCACTCTTGCAACTGAGATTAGCTCGTTTGCAAACAAAGTGCATGCCGCCGTTGTGTCCTTTTATACATATTGCAAAATTACCGACCATTCGCATTGTTACTCAATTAACAAAGCGATTTATTGACAAATCGAATTACAAACGTATGAGTAAGCGATGACATAGGAATAAAATAAACCTAATCCGACAAAAACCTATTAATTAAATATAATTGGTGCAATTGGTTTTTAACGATGTCGAGCATTAGCAGAGCGGAGATATAACTGTGGATACATTTCGGATCGTAACCTCGGCTAATGTTACACATTAACCTGAGGAGGTCCATAATGAGGGCTAATTTAAAATAGATAAGTCACTATTTTGAAATTCCATTGAGTAATATACTAGAGAACGATATTAAGTAAGTACCAAATTTAAATAGATAAATAAATTCCCATAACTCAAAATATAAATTAAGGTAAGGGTTGTCCACTATGCATTTAGTCTAGCAGTGTGCCGGCAGGTCGCGGTGCGCACGAGTCTCGATCATGACTCGGCATTCGTGCTGCGGATTACTTTCCGACTTTGTAGTCCAACTCGATGTTCGGAACACTGAGCGGAGAAATTATAGCTCACGACTGCTAAGCTCCCCAACCCCCTCACCCTACCTCACACTGCTATTGCTCGAGTTAAAATAAACAACTGAAAGTATGCTTTGTCATCTCATCATGAAAGCTACGTATCTATAAATTAAAATAATATATGTGCTTATAATGTACTGAAGTATGTTTATTAAGATATTTTTACTAAGAGAAATCAACGTAGTATTTTCATTTTGCAGTAAATTATAGATCAAGGAACGTGTTGTGGCAACCCTTTCGTTAAATAAACAAAGACATGAGGCGCGGCAGCACAAGGCGCGCGCCACCCTCCCTGGCAACCCTGCATCTACGCGTTCTGACTAACAGCCTCGGGTCGCCAGGACGTCAGGACGCCACTGTAATATCAGGACGAGCTAAGTAAGCCGGAGGGGAATAACTAAAAGGATGTGCGACTTCATGTTTGTTATAAGCCCAAAAAAAATTCTGAGGCGACAGTTATAAAAAAAAATGGCAGTGACAACTAACGAAATGTATACGAACAAAAAGTGTTATTAGAAGACCGTTTTAATAAAATATAGTACCATAATCGAAGAAGTTGTACAATGCGCAACAATCAATAATATTTTATTTATGTTGTTTAAATAACCAAGCGAATTGTTGCAAGGGAAATGTAGCATATAAGAAAGTTTTAAGAGCGTTTAAGATGAATTTTAAAGAGGAAAAGAAGTAAATAAGTTTTACAAATGAAACAAACTGATGTGAACGATTTCAGAGAAGTGTTGTTGTATAAAGAATCGGTGCCAAAGAACCAACGCGACAAATATTTTAAAACATTTGACGAATTTAATTCGAGAGAACAGCGCAGGTAATTGACTCGCAAAGCGAACTCGAACACGACATGAAACCTAAATAAGTTGCCACAACGAAACAACTAGATCAATTACATTAACGCAGACTCGTTTTATAATTCATTAACTAAAACTTTAGAAGATACATATTTCTTCTTTAGATACGTATGATGCGTTAATTGTTGGTTAAATCAATACGCTGTAGAATACAAATTTACAATAGCCTCTTGACGAAATCTCTGAGACGACGTATGTTTTTAATATTACAAAAATAACGATAAGATGCTTCGTCATTATAACATGAATGTAAAGTACAAGGAGTTGGGAGTGTAGTAAATGCAGTGAGCAAAACGCAACTCTACGTCCAAGCGAATTTACTGGTACGGCTGCTTTGTTCGATTAAAACCAGTCCCACACGATTCGCACCTCCCCGCATATTCGACGACCAAATAGGCGATGACTTAACTCGGCCAATAAAGAAAAGTAAAATATAATGAGCGGACGTTATCTGTGAGCGCGATAACGCTCAAATAGCCGCGGAATCGCCGGGAAACGGATAACTAATGCGCCGCCAAGGCCACGGTGTTAATGACGTAACCTCACAACAATAGTCGCGAGACCACTAAATAACAACAAGTTTAGTGCCGTGAGCCGTGACGCTGGCTCCTAGGCCGGTAAAACAAATTGCTATTTCTCTTGAACGTATGCTGACCTTTCTTTGCTTGTTTCTCGCGCTCCTTTTCCTTTTCCCGCGCCTTCTTTTCCCTTTTCTCTCGCTCCTGCTTCTCCTTCTCGAGTCGCTTCATCTCCTTCTTGATTTCCTTCTCGCTTTTCTTCGTCTTGGTGTCGTCAATTTTCTCAGAGAGGATGAAGGTCCCCGTCTGGAGCTTCGTGTCCGTCTCATCCTTGGGCCTCATCTCGGTACCGTCACTGCACTAGTCGCGACGGTAACTCTCCTTCGGTAATGCACTCTTGGTGTATCGTCGGGAAAGAGAGTCGATACGACGCGGATCGACCCGAGCCGATACTTTATCACCAACAAGGACCGCGACCGATTCGATTATCTAAAGTAGCGGTAGGATCACTGTCACTGAGGCGGCGCGGTGCAAACGTGCGTGTGCGGCGAGCGCTCGAGCGGTACTGGACGGCGCGCGCGCCACGCGCCCCACCCCGCTCTATAAATAAGATTCGCTTCCTATAGTGTATGGTAGTATGGAATCAGAGGACGATTTATGGCCGTTGAACCCATGAGAGCTTTTCACATGTGATGACTAAGACGCAGCCTCCGGCCAGTCCCAAGGTGTGAGCGGTTTCGGTGCCAAGGTCGTGGCGACTGATGGTTTATTGGCGAATGTGATATCAAGGTCGGCGCGCCGGCGTGACAGGAGACAGAACAATAATTATACAAGAAATAGGATTACATAATGGTAGTGATTAGCAGGCTCTGCAACATTTGATGAGCCCGCTCTATCTTATTTAAACTCTAATGTTACACATTAACGAATTATTAAACAGGCGGAAAACCTGTCTTGATAACGTGACTCAAAAGTCGTCGGGGGATTACGTGAAGTTAAACAAAAAACCAGCGAGACATCGCTTCGTCAAACCTGAAGTTGCGAAAGATGCAGACACAAAAATCGGGTCGCCAGTAAGAAAAGAAAGACGGCGATAAAATGCACGTTTCCTGCGCGCGCGCAGCGGACCGCGACGCTGGGAACCTGCCATATGATCTGACCGACCACTGAGACTTTACAAGTCAGGACTGACTGGCGATAGCTATCCCGACGCACTATACACAACATTATAAAGATTCCACGAGGTTAAGAACATTGCTAGATCATTGTAACTGTAAGTGTTAAGAGCAAAGTATAGAGTAGAAGAAACTAGTGTGCATTTGTATCTATTCCAAACAAATGGTCCTAATTATTTATGATAAACGCATTAGCAGTAAAATTTAAAAAAGTAGTATACTTGTTGGCTGTCGACGAACATTTCCCCAATGAACGGGACTCTCGTTACACATTTAACTATTGAATTAGTCGTGCATACCGCGACAACATCCGAGCACCCGACATAAAGGCAAGTTTGCAGTAGCAGATTTGATTGCAGATTGAACCAAGGAATATAACACAATATGCTTAAAATATAGGAAAAGAGTTTGGCTAAACACACAAAAAGTAAAACTAATGTTTGATATGTCAGTAGATTGACGTCAATCGTGCCGTATATGCAAATTCTAAAGAGGATAAAGTTTCATCCACCCAGTTTCAAACCACACGATAATCAATTTCACAGTGGTAGTGCCCGCTTTAACATCTTAGCACTGCAGGGCCGGCACGCCCGTTCTAATACCACGACCACACAGAAGACAGGCGCGAAATGGAAACAATTCCGTGTTTCGTCTGATGAGTGTGGTGCCGGAGACCTAATTTAAGTCCCTTTCTCTTTATCGCCCTCTTCTTATAATGAGAGGATGGGAACGGGAAGTGGATTTGACGGTAAAGGAGGTGTATAGGAAGGGGTAATATCCTCTTTATGTGCGTCTTCTCCTCCGTCGTATAAGGGTAGGCAACGCATCTACAATTGCGGATGTCTATGGGCAGCGGTCGCTTCGCCATTTTGGCGGATTCGGGTGGCCGATTGCTCGTTTGCCACCTTATATTATAAAAAATAATAATAATCTATAAAATTAAACTGACATTATGTCACGTATTTGTTGGTGAAATTATCATTCGAATAATTATTTTTGACTGTGCGAATGCAACAAAAAATGATTATTGTTGAATACAGAAACTGCTGGCTAACCTATCGTTGATAACAACAAGAAATTACCTTCAATAAACAAGCTGCCAGCCCTTGTCCTTACGTAAGCACTTTCCCTCGGCCCTGCTTGTAATGTAGCCTCAACTACCGGGGCACTAAATGATGTAACTATTGCTTTACTCTGCACGTTTAATTTGCCTCAATGCTATTTAACAAAAAAGTTTTAATTCAATGGCTTCTTACTTATGTATTTACTCCGCTGACGTAGGGACCCAAATTAATTTTGACCTCCAACAAACGAGTTCCCAGATAGACTCAGTAACAGATATGTATTAATATTGGATGAAATTATAAAGTTAAAACGCGAATAGATAAATAGAAGACTCTACTTTAACAAACTGCTAGTTGGGTCGACCGACGAAACGATTGTAGTCTCAGTCTCTAGATAGTATAAACCATGTGTACCAGAGTACAATACTATATAGATATAGACTAGTACAGAGCTAACTAGCTATGTGTAGGCTATGTGCAGACGAGGGGCGCCATCTCGCAGGCAAATGCTAATTATAGAGGCAAGGCGGTCGAACATTCCTACTGCTCACTCAACTGAACTCCGCTCTAACGTATCTTTTTCATATTTATAATACAACACAATTGATTAGCAGCCATCTAGTGTGATAATTCCATCAGTTTCCTTCAATATATGATGAGGAAAACGATCCTAATGATAATATTTAGCACCTGCAGAATTATATTCATGAACACGAGATGTCGTGTACACGGTGTAGTATCGGGGACTAGGTCGTGCTTATCTCGCGCTGTGCAGTAACAACGTCCACTCCAAATGGAATGTACAAGTATAGGCGAGGTACGCGATGCCACTTCAAACAATCGCATCGGCCGACTGAACCAGTGAACATGACCTGTAACGACCAAATTCAATATTGGATCCTTGATTCGATAAGAAAAATATATCGATTTTACTTTGTATCAAACAAAATTTATTTGGTCGCTCTTTTAAGACGAAAGAAGATCTAAAGTAAGATTATAAAGTTTGGGGCAATTGCGATTTTTAAATCCGACACATTTGAACCAAATATCTATTACAACAACTGAGAATAAGCAAAAATGGTTCGAGATCGAAAAAAGAGCAATTAATGCAACATTGTATGAAATGAGAATGAATTCGCAATGTATAAGTAACGGTCGTGTACAGGAGCGTTATCTAATCGCGCTCGTTGCGGCCGATAGCGACTCACCATCTCAATACAATGCACCGTTCTTACTTCAATAACATTCAATTCATTTAAAAATTACTGGTTTAAATATATACGAATCCCAGCCGGCCCCGGCCTGCAGCCGCTGTTATCTACAATTCAATTAGGTACGCGCGACCTTAGTTCGCAGAATTGCGTCTCATTTATCTCCCTACTCACTGCTTACACAGACAACTAATATAGTTATATATTTGCGGCATATATTTTTACAATTGTGCTTTTGGTCGTTAATTAACTTATCGTGGAAGCTGTGCGCTTTCATAGTTTCTATTCGTGTAGCTGTTCCGAGCCATCGCTCCGCGCAGAACATTTCCCCCGGTATCAATTGCCAGCGCGCCGAGTGGACACGTCCGGGTATAGGGTTCCAAGCGGAACGATATTGTAGGTACTACTCGATTATGTCGGTAGATGGCGCAGCGGGAGCAACACTAACTAACACTAGTTTCCATATATGTGGAATTAAGACATTTTCTTTCCTCTAGGGACGTTATAATTATCGATATTATAGTATCGAATGGCTCAATTGAAACGGGAAGTCCGGCCGATTGGAAAGCGAGCGGTGGCTGAGCACTTTCTAATGTGTATAGATAACTAATAACTACTATTTAACGCAGTCAGTTAACTGAGTAACTGACAAAGAGCTATTTAGCGAAATCGCTTATCCTGCGTGAAGTAGGTACAAAAGAGGTACGAACGTACGGACGGAAAGCAATCACACTCAAGTCGGCCACAAGTTGCCTGCTTCAGCCACCACTCGACAACACTCATGAGCCTCATTAGGCCAGGGTCGTACAATAAAAAACAAAAACCGAAAAAGGGTCATGGAAAGCCGAATATCTCGATACAAAGGCTACAAGCGATGACATAATGCATCGGCTTGCGCAATGTATGCCTCCCGCCGACCGCAAGCCGACACGCTCTTGTACACACGTTATTAAACATTCAAAATTTGTTAGTTGCGAGCCCATGTCGTAGGGGGACAGCGTAGGGGGGGGGGAGAAGTCTTGCAAAAGGAAAAAGTAAAAATTAATATCGTATTATATTACTATTTATATCAGCATTTTGTCCTAATTGACGTTAGAGTCGATGTGTCGATTTACGAATATCGGTTGGCGGCTCGCCTTCACCCACTTTAAGTTCAGTGCGCGTCGATTGACTCATCCTCCGCAGACAAAAGCATCTGTTCATAGATTCCGCACCCTTTAGATACCTCTACCTTTATCACAATAATTTAATCAAATAACACTTCTCCTCTGTCGTCTAGATAGTACGTTACGACCCCTGTCGTATGTGACCAACCGCCGTGCCGTGACCAAAGCACTTATAATGAGGGAGAACAGTCGACACCTTGCACAGGAAACGTCATGTTGTTTTAATTCCAGTGTAGACGACACCCTACTTGTGAAATGTAGGTAAGTGAACAGTTTTAGCGAAAACGGAAAATGCATGTTAACATTTTAAACGTCATAGGAATAATAACACTCTATTTTGATACTGATAGCAACGTTATTAAGAATCTATTTCTTCATCTGTACAACTTTCTAAATAATATATATTGTATAGTAATAATAATAATAATAATAAATAATTCCCACCATTTGATAGAAAAAAAAATACTGCAATTGCCTTTGTAAGGCCAATCGCATTTTATTTGTTTTCAAAAGCTTTTGACGCGGCTGGAGCACGTTTTGTGTTTCAGCATAATTGTTGGGCCGGTGGCACTGCCGCCGGCGCGATTGCCCAACCCGGTCGACTTCAAACAATGCCCTGCGTTGCCGCTGCAACTCTAGTGAAGTGCTCGTAACTTACATATCGACAACATAAAGTATCGATTAAAATTCAGATTCACAAAATAAAGTAGAGACAAAGGATATAATGCTCAAACAAGTTTTATAGGTCCTATGTTTAATATTCCAAGAGACCACACGTGAATTTGAAAGGATTGCAGTCAAAAGAAAAGCAATATGGGGAATGATGGCAAGTGGCGAGATGGGCACGCGCGCCCCCGCAGAGTGCCCTCCATTATGTGAGTCAAGAGGCGGCGAGTGTTGACTGTCCCACTAAATGGGGTAGTGGCGGCGTTTAGTAACCGATAACGCAAAAAGACTGCGAGACAAAATTGCAAACTTAATTGAGATTTTTCTACCCATTGTCTAATTATCTAAACTAAATTAATCTTCGGTTAAATATAAAAAGCATTTAGATTAAGTCAGACCAGAAGCCTAATAAGGCTTAATACAAATCTATTGTTTATTCAGTTGACATTTTTGTTTTTAAACTCGAGACGCAATAAAAGGGAACTCTGAAGTTCTTTAACCTATAACAGTGGTGAGCAGGCGCAGCTGGTGCGCGGGAATTTTATTACTTTCTTGCTTATAAAATGATGCAAACAAAAATAAAACGTCCCGATCGCTTCCTTCTGCGCCATAGCGCAATGAGCCGGGCTCAGTAGACTGCACGTCTACAGTTGCTCTGCAGCCGGTCATGTTATCCTCGCCATAAAAACACCCTGTATTGGTGAAATAGATATAAAAATAGCAATCATTATATGGCTTGTGTTAACTTAAAACGCGATGAAGTGTGACTGGTCCTATCTGGAAAGGAATCGTAGTAGAACGCCGTCACTTCCATGAGTATTTACTTTAATGTTTACGGCATGGACATAGTATTTAAGTTGCATATAGCATTGATTAGATTCGGAGCGGGTATATCGCAGCCGGGCCACGTGCGCCCTGTCGACGTAACGAGCCGCCATTCGCCTGCAGCACGCCGTCTATTCTACTTTATTTAAGCAATACAGCCCAGGAATTAGATTTATCTAAACTTTTTAACTTCTTTTATATGTTATATAAAAACGCCATTGATGTCATTTTCGATTTTTATAGTCAAGCTTAACACTACTTAGAAATGAAGATTATTTAAGAATAATCAACGGATTTAATTGTGGACAGAATTACATATTAGTTACGTTTATGCGTTATTAAGAGGTATGAGAGTAGTGTTTGCAGGCAACGGAGGCTGAACGCATTTGCATCGATTAGCGCGTACCGACCTACTTCGTCATCGCCGTGGCAGCGGCGCTCCTTCAAGCAGTTTGCAGTTGCAGACCGTAAACCGCACCTTTGTCTCCACATTAGCTGTGCTACAAGGTCATCCGTCAATTAAAACCAAACAACTTGTTTCAAAAATTTTTGTGTTGTATAATGTTAGCCAATCAAATGTATTTATATCAATATTCTTTCCTACTAATTTTACTTAGCTTCTAGAACTAGGTGTACATCAGATGGGACAGTAGAGATAGTCTACATAAGAATAATATAAATAGACTCAGTTGTAAATATGTAGTACATAGTCTTATAAGAAAGTTTTAAGAGTAGAGTAGCTTTATTTTGATCAAATTTAAATAGTTATTTGTATGGGATGATTTAAATAAAAAATGGACATTAAAGCAAATAAAATTATACAAAACCATATAAAAAGTCTAATAAGAAAACTGTGTAATAATAGCGACTTGCAGATTTGTCTGCAAAAACTACTCTTAAGCTTACATTTCATTTTTTACTGTTGTAGTTAATGTAAAGATGATTGTTTGACTTCTTTATAATAAAAATTCAGCCGTGATAACATTCCCTGCGGCACCTCTACGGAACAATTAGCTAATTCTATCTTATTAGCGTTTGGCAGCAAACCATGTTCAATAAAAAAAATATTGTTTCTGTGTAATTTCAACATTACCATATATGTGTACAAATTATAGATTATTACATTTAGAGTTCAAGTATTTCAAGTATTTTTGTGTAAACATGTTGAAAAATCTAGCTAATTGTGATCAGCAATGGAGCGGCAGTTATATTTACACATTTGTCATGTAACAGAGTATTGTGTGCTATGTGCGCTGCCCGCAGGCCACAGGCTAAGCGTGACTCATTGTGCCTCTTTACCTCAATACTTGTGAATAATAAATGAGCTTAACTGAACATTGAATATGTACAATATCCTACATTTGGAATGTACCTACACTTACTATATTAGGTACAGAGTTTAAATGCAGAGGGATAACAAGTTGTAAAATCTTCATTTCATTTTATTAACATAAGATATGTAAATATATAACTGTAGGGTTGTACACACATTTTTAATTCTTTACATTACATTTGGAAGAGATAATTTTCTTTTCATGTTTCACATCGAAATATAGATGTAGCTGCATATCAGATGTATGATAAAATATTCAGGATGTTATCAGACGTGACGAAACAAATATAAAGAACAAACGAAAGCAAAAAGAAGTGATAAGCAAAAGAATTAGCTTCCCCGTGACTTGCGGCTCGCGCTCGCGCCCGCCGCAAGGACAAGACGATTAGCGGCCGCTCATGTAACGCCTGTTGATACCTACTCAATACCAAACTTTTATATTTTAAGCATTGATAAAGACATTAACTACGGCACTTTAATGAGATTCCATATAATTTGCCAAAAACCGAATGGATTTTTACCATTAGCCGAATTAGTTTGACTAGTTTTCTCTGTTAGAACGACAGCACCAAACTTTTTCAAGGAATTTTAACCTAACTGTCGAAATAGGGACGCATGAGAAAAATCAATATTTTCACCACAACAAGGCGGTGTTACTGCCCTATATTTCTAATTAGAAATCAATGAGATCGCAAGCTTGTGTACAGCTATATCATTACCTATAGTTCTGTACAAGTTCACAATACTGTGTAAAATATTACACAAAAAACCTTGTAAAAAGCAAACAGCCGGTGTACTTACCCATTTTGTTTGTTCGTTTGTTCCGCCGATCGAATAATCCTCTCACTAGAGATATTTCTTTTCCTTCATCACAAACTACACCTTGGCGCACACTAGCACTGACTTGTACCGAAATAAGCTGGGCTTATACTCATAAATATCGCATAAAATATTATTTTTACAGGAAATCTGACGAACAGCGGCACCACTTTGTCAGCGAGGCGCGCCAGCTGCTGTCAGAAAGCGCGCGTGCGTTCCTAGCTACGCTCCGTTCGAATGCGTTCCGTTATTATCTTCGGATCGGAGCGACTCGTCCCAATCGAACTCAACATTGATAAAAAGTGTGATCACGCTCTTGATACATATCTATTTTTAATGTAATAATTACGGTATCACCAACCGCATAATATCAACGAATTTTTGCTGCTAATAATTGTACTAAAAAAAAATTAAGTTTTCACTTCATCTCTCATCATCATTTGAGGCACTACAGCCGCGGGTGGGCCTAAGGTCTGGTCTAGTAAACTTTGTCCTTGACGCTGATGTTCTTAAAATCGCGTTCGACGTCATCTAGCCATCTAAGTTTCTGCCTGCCACGCGCTCTACGTCCACATCTCTAGGAAACCACAATTATATGTTATTCAATTATTCAAATTTTTTTTTCTGACGTTTCTAGACATACCATATCTGCATTAAATAGGGGTAAGGGGTTTTACTTAAATAAAACAATACAAATAACGAACGCTTCATAAAATAAGTGCTTTATTTATTGATTTAATTTGTATGCATTACAGATTTGTAATTTTAAATTAAATTGTACGTGTTTTGTTAAACAAAAAAAAAGTAAATCTAGCTCGAATGCCAACCCAGAAACTTATGTACAATTTTATAACTACTTGAAAACAAATTAACTTTTCAGTATTTTGAATAAAAATACGTTACCGAAGTAATTTAAATGAACAGTTAGGTAGCAGGAGGGGGCCTCACAGAATGTAGAATAACATGCGGGTTGCCACACAAACGGCAGGCAAAGTTCAACAAAGCTTTAAATATTTAGTCGGCCTATAGCCTAGTTTTGCACCAAGCCGTTATAATTCTATGGACCGATGAAATATAAATCTGAGCACACCCGTAGCGGTTAACTCAATACGACGTAGACTAGTGAGGAAATATTTCAATTTACGAGCCGAAAGGAATATTTAGAATGCACGGTAACAGAATCGTGGTGTGTTAAGTTAGGGAGAAAGAAGCGCCTCATCTCCGCACTAGTCGACTGCCGCACACTCCGTCATCAGCGAAATATAATTTTCCTAACCGAGAAGGCAAACAAACAAGGCTACATAACTACGAATGACGCAATATACCCTCCTATTTACATTTAAAACCGAATTAGAATAAATATAAGAACCTTAAACTCTCTGTACAATGTCGTAAAATATTTTTTATCTTCCTTATAGAATCTTTGTATCCTTTGCTTTTATCATTTTTTAGTTTATTTCAAATGCACTCCGTTTAATTTAAGACAGTGGAATATAAATGATTAACAAGTGGAAACCTCACAAAAACCTAACAATACAAACGTTTTTTTAGTATTTACCAAATAGAAGCAAGTAATTAGACGACTTAATTATTTATTAGATGTCACTAAATGTAATACGCAGTTTGATAAATACACGAGCACGCATAATGTTGGTCCGTCGAGCCGGATTTTTTCTGTAGCTCGTTATAAAGCGGTAAGGCGGTAGTTTGATATCCGAGAGGCGTGGAAAACACTTCAGTTAAATGACACACGGATTGCAGTGTGATACAGTTACTAACTCTTATACAATTACGTTCTATAATGTACCACAAGCATGTCGCATGCGGCGTGTCGCCCGCCGCCGACATACTCTAACTATTAAGCTGCTTTATCGAAACAAGTTAAATCTAAATTATTAAAGTTTAAGCCTGCCATTTGTTTTGCTTTTTAAATTCAACTTTGTGTTAATCCTATGTTAATGGAAATAAATCTATGTATTTATATTTTTATATGAGTTGAAAATAATGACAATGATATGGAGGACAGCGTGTTAAAGGTAAGTACAGTGGTAAAAATATTAACAGATAATATTACTTCAAACGATTTAACATTTGAACAAGGAACGAGTATAGTATTTAATATTACAACATTGTGTTATTTTATTATTAAGACAATATTTATTGCTCTACTCATTACATAAATTTCAATAAATCGCATACGGCTTGATGATTTGATAACGATTTCATATTTTCATTGTAAACAACGTAAAAAGAGAATTGAAATTTCAAAAAATGTATTTGTTACGTATAGTGGCCAGTCTGCCTACTTGTACATTTCTTTATTTTGAAAATTTTTAATACATATCGTTAAATAAATACATTCCTTTAGAGTGCAGTGTATTTAATTTTTCATAATTTCATATAAAATTGAAGTTTTACTCGTTTGTTTTAAAATGTATAAAAACAAAACCGTGGACAGTTACAAGTTACATAGTATGTAACATGCGCAGGATATTCCGCTGGAGTTTGGAAAGCGACATATTTACATGTTAGAATTTTGTCAATATAGATATTAACAGCGCGGCGACGGACCGACAGACCGACAGACCGACAGAGCGACAGAGCGACAGAGCGGCTGTCGCGTGTCCACACGTACTATTCAGCGGTTAAAAATAAACTATAAGTTAATTGACAAAAGGTTGGACTATGATTTGGACAGTTGCATGTGGAGCGACACCTGGTGTGAGGCTGTGAGGTGGTGTGAGGTGGTGATGTGGCGGTGTGAGGTGGTGATGTGGCGGTGTGAGGTGGTGCGAGGTGGTGAGGCGGGG